TATATATCTCAACGTAGTAAATAGTAATACATATCGTGATAATAGGATCGAGTAGTTTGAAAACAAAAAAAAAAGTTGTCACAGTCTAATAAATGTTTTGTGTTTCACGTTCGGTACCTTGGACGTACTGTCTGCCTGTGGCCACGATTCACGTGATTAGAAACCAATCCAAGAACGCTTTTTCGGTTACAGGCGTGGCCTTACAAAACCGTTAGTACGAATTAGTAAAGGCGATTATCGCAACGGTAGTTAACGAAAATCAGCGCTCGTCACTCGATTCATTCAGATATTGCTACACTGTAGCATCAGTTACAAACTAATGACTGTATCGTGACGACCAATACAGTCGTAAATGGCGCCCACTGTAGAACAGGAGGTAGCTAGCTATCGGCTAATAATGTCATAGTAACTTAACAATATATAGGCACGCACGTTATCTGCCGTTGTATGACGCACATGCGATGACGGTGTACAGGGGGGCAAACGCTAATACACAAACTAATTTTCTCCACATCTCTGATCTCGTCGACAAATAAACGATGATGGAGAGAAGCTCATGGTAGTTTGAAGAACTAGGCGGATCAATAGGTATCGAGGAATTGCATAATAGCTGGCTGTAACCGTCTTGTACTCGTCCTGTTGACGTTGCGGAGAGTCTTTGCGTGACAAATAAGAACCTCTTTACGGCGCCGTTTTCGCCTCTTCCTCTGCTCACGTTGATGTAAGCGGATCCATTAAAATTCATATAGTGTCTGTCGTCATAAGGGTCGTCTCCGCTAGAAATCGCTTCTTTTAACTACTTTCTTGTATAAATGCTATCATTAAAAGAGAACGTTTCAAAGTCTAAAAACCTCAAAAAGGCAGACGCCGCTAGACTTGCTGTTACGAGCACAATAAATATCTACAAAGCTGTTGGCCATATACACAAGGAAGCAAACAGAAAGAAACACTAATAAATACGGTAATAACAATCTAATTAATTCAAAGACAACCAGATCCAGCTAATTTTGGCGCTTACTTAAATAACAATATATTGAAATCTAACAAATGATATCCGTAAAATCACGAAATACTAGTACTCTATTTCAGTTACGAGTCGGTATCGATGTGGGTAATTTAGCTCAATAACAACACGGTAAAAACTGTTTGTTTAAACCTTTTTTTATTTTATATATATATACACGTATATATATATATATATATATATATATATATACAGTGCTTACACATTTTGTCAGTTCTACCTAATCTATAAAGATCTCACATAAGGTTTGACTAGGCGCGCTCGTGAACGTCTCTTGTGCTAACTATCGCCTTTTCCTGCAAGTTACTACCACCCGCGAGAAAAGGAATACGCAAGATTATTATTGTAATTATTGTACACAAAGCAACGAAACTAGCAGATCACAACACATTCGGGACATGCCGCGTTAGACAGAAAAATGTGTGCGAAAATCCTAATTTAATGCTCGAAAATTTTTCGAAGTTCGGTAAAAGTGCATAGGAAGCGTATCGGTCGAAGTTTTCACCGATGCAGGCGTTATTATTGCGGCTGCCGCAAAAGAACGCATTCGCGATCCAGTGTGACGATGCGGGCGAACGTTTCTCAGCTAGATACGCTGGAGCGCAATAGAAAATACAGCGACAATCGAGTGAATGCTTGAAACGCGAACCCAGACGTTTTGGCCCAGACACAATTAACTATCTAGGAAACCCAGTAGACATATGGCCAGACACGAGCTGCCTGTTTCTTAGATACGAGCAGTAGAAATGATCTGAACCACGCTGTATAGGTACGCTAACCTATGAATAGAATCAACATCAACAAAGTTGTTTGAATATGGACACTAATGCACGTACGGTTAATGATTTGTAAGGCACTGCTCTAGAAGAATCCGAGACAACGCAAGAGTTAGGTGATCGGACGATGGCAAACGTCGTTGTTGCATAGACTATAATTCGCATTTTTTTCCACTTAAACCGCTAATCTATCATATGCAGGCTTTGAGGGCTTAGGTGGTTATAGCAGAAGGAACAATCGTAAGGTACCAGGGTATATTCATCGGCCGAATAACTTCTGCAAGTTGATGATGGAAGCTTCGCAACGAAATCCTTTTCGCAAACCGCTACGAATAAAAGGGTGGAATGTCACACCGGCTTTCGCTTGCTCTGTGATCGGACCTTCTAGTCCCGTCATCAAAAACCTCTTGTAAGGCTGTCTCGAGCCTGTGCAGCGAATCCGAGGTCTTCCCACGAAACGCGCAGTCGCCCGTATCACAATACGCTGTACCAAGTGAGTCTGCTCACAATGCCAACAATACGCTGAACACAACTAGAGAGAACGAAGCGTATCAGGGGAGAAAAAAAGAGGTAGAAAAGAAGACAGAAATAGAGCGAATCAAAATCTCCAGCGCATATCCCATATCGCCGTAGGCTGCTTTTGTGTCCCGTTCGGCTACAAGCCGCGACTACCTACTTTAAACCTCGAAACACATCGCAGGCTGCACAGGTAATAGGCTGCTACCGATGGGGCCAGACCACGACCGTTTTCGAAGAACAACTTCAAAGTTGCAACTAACTAACTAATGAACTAGCTAACAACTCGTAATACTACTGTAACATTGGCAATAATAACTATTTAAAATACAACAACAAGACAGCGAACAGCGACCATCTAAATCGTTAGCCGTATGCCTGTACGGTCGCCGCGATATCCTATTCGAAGCTACCGCTGGTTGGCGCTGCTGATATACTGCGCCTGGCATCGGTCCACCTGCTCCGTGACGTGCTTCAGCCGCAATCGAAGAGTGTCGATAGATCGCTGTGGTAATGGAGGCAGATACTGGTCCATGCCAGGCGAGTTGCTCTGGAAAGCGTTCTGCATCATCTGCGCGAGCTGGTCGCTCGATATTTTGAGCAAGTATTGAACCTGCTGAACCGTTTGACGGCGGAACACGCACAGCGATTGTAGAAATGTCTTGTGATAGCTGTGGTATTTGTCAAGGAGACGATAGCCATGGACCAGGCCGGACTCGTTGTCAAGGAAGACAAGCAGTCCCGTCTGCGGATCCTTGAGCAAATTGTGCGCCGGTGCTGCCATCATTCCTGGGTTCCATTGTAAGTTGTAGAGGTTGTTGACAACACGGTCGAGGTTAGCGGTCAGGTAATCAAAAACTATTAGGTCGCTCCACTGTACCAATTCCTGTATTTGACTGCGTGTCATATTCTTCATATCGGACGGATGTAGATGTCGGTTTTTGTCCCGAAGCAGCTCGGGAATGTAGGCAGGCTCGAGATCTTCGAGGTACCTAGACAGGATCACAGGTCGATTTGGCTGCCAACGAGCTTGGCGTACTTTCGGTGCCACTTCACTCCATTGCTTACCGGTTGCCCGAGTGGCCACTACCGGGACTACATTAGGAATACCCAGCTGCTGTGCAAGATAGAACGAAAATAGCTCTCCTTGAATCTGATCGTTGTTTTGGCGGTAGCGTGCGCAAGCCAGTACTTGATCGTTTAGCTCGACGAGTCGGTTCTGCATGCGACCACAGCCTTCGCGCACATCGACGAAGCGTGCTGTTTTTACAGTCGCTTTCCAGTGCATCGCTTGACGTTGCTTGAAACCACCAGGCACCGATGCTTCTGCTGCATCTGTCCAGAAAACTCCGTCGACAGACGGAAGTTGAGATATGGGTTCTGGAGTTGTCATAGCTTCGCTATGCGACCTGTGGTTGAGACGAAGTTGACGCAGCGCGATCGGCTTGCGCGTTTGTGGCCTGCCAACGACAACGAAACTATTGACACGGGGAAAAGGTACCGCAGGTCGTTCTGTAACTTGCACCGGCTGCCCGGCCAGCGAGCTCCGTAACAGCATTGGACGGGCTTGATTCAGTGCTCCTGACAAGATGACGAGTGTAAGAGCAACTGAGATGATCGCCAGGCACATAGCGAGAATCGCCACAAAAACATAGCGTCGATTAGTTGTCTCCGTTTTCGTAGGCGTCTTCGGCGGTATGTCTTCGATCACCTCGGCATAGATCGACTCGATCGGTAGTTTCTGTTCAACTGGATAGTGCACATGTGGGTACACCATCGTCGTCGGCTGGCAGACCAACGTTCGGTCTGTATAGTAAGCCATTTTACACAAACGTATATTGCATACGCGCCGTCGATATATCCGCAGTCCACCCACACGGTGCGCACTACTGAGCACTATGTTCTGACACTGAACAGTTTTGTCACCAATGTGAAGAATAGCTGGGTGAAAATACTCTGACGGGTGTTTTTTCTCATGCACACGCCGTCGTGCGCACTTTTCGTTTAGTCTGCCTCAGTTTGCTGCCTATCTTCGCAAGTGATTCGTCCGAGGGTGAATGAGGACCTCTTCGACCGGCACCCGGCTTAAGAGGTTCGCACATAGGAATGAGCGGCACGAAGGAATGCGACAGCAGCGCCGCCCTTCGGTGATCTACCGAATTGCGGCGTACGGATAAGGTGCGTATGTACGAATCCCGATAGACTTCGGCAATCATTATTCTGTTGTCATTAGTCGTTCATATTTTTCATTTCAGGCGGTTCATTACCTTTCTTACTGGCGACAAGTCAAGAAAAAATGCTATATTTCCCTGGGTAATAACTCTAACAAATTCGCTACCCAAAGCGACTATAGACCGGTACGATTGAATGTATCATTACATGTAACCTCATTTGAGTCATACTTTTAACATTATAACTTTTAAGACATAGCTTGCAATCGAAGAAAGCTGTCTTATTCAGCTTTCTATATTGGCACATCACATCATACATATAGTCACAAAACAGGCAGGCGGATTATTTCGTTTTTACGTTTATTATTACGTTTTGAGTCTTACGTTCGATATAGCCATTGGGGCATTGCATCAGACGGCTGGCTCCGGTCAGCGCGAAACGAATCGTGTGTCTATGTCTGGGTTCGAACCTAGACCGCGACATATCCTTAGGATTAGGGGGCCGCCCCACATTTTACCACGAATTACCCACTAAGCTATCACGGGTGTATTTTCGTATCATATATAAAAAATGGAATAGAACATATCTATGAATATAAATTAATTAAATATGTAAAAACAAATAACATCATAAATATATAATATTTTTAGCCATTTTATTTAGTTATTAAATGACATCAGTGCATTTAAGCAAAGCGAATTTAATACAATTGAACAACGTATAGTGCTTTTCAATATGGTTCGATGTGAAACTTCTACTTACTTTGAATCCCACAGGTCTATATCGAACTATATATATGTGTATATATATATATATATATAAATTTACTATTTTCAAATCAAATAGATCTTATTTATGAAAGAAAAAATCAGGCCTATTATCGATAAATCACCTTGTTTACAGAGATGTTTGCGTTCCCTGACACGTCCATATTTCGTAGATGCCTCCTGAGCAACAATAGAAATGCCCGCTTATGTCTCGTTACGTCTTTTCATATGCGTAGGGTGTGTTAGGGAAGTAGCTTTCCTATTCGTCCCTTCGTCATCGTCATCCTCTCCGTTTCTTTTTCTACCTTTTACCTGAGCTGCTCGTTGGTCCCTGGCTGTTTACTCTTCTGCTGCTGCTCGAAAGCCGATCTCCCAATTAAATTATACTGGGCTGTTTGTAGAGTCGTAGGAAGTGCACCCGTCTTAACTTTATTGGTCGGTCAATGGAAAATGCCAAAATCGTTTCGATGACCGAACGTTACTGGCATCGAAACCTTTTTATCAAAACCTTTCTAAACCCAGATTGTTGAGCTGCTGGCTAAGAAAAGGCCCATGTTCTCCCAGGCACATAGTAGCTTGGACTTGCGATTGTCCGAGGTCATGCCTTTGGGCGATCGTTCGGTCCAAATGAGCTACATCATTTATTGAACATGGTCTAGCCATATCAAGCCCATGGGAGTCTTCGCAACCGGCCTAAATGTATAAACACAAAGGAACGCACTCACATAGATACGGCCATGGGCAGCACACAACAGTCGTAACCCCGAACGTCGCGCGGCGGGGCGCACAGGTGCAAAGGTACAGAGAGCACTGGAAGAAACAAGCGTTTTGAGAAATTGATATTTTCTTGAGGTGGTCCATTGTGTCGTCAGCTGGATGCCGGGAAGAGTTCGCGCTGTCGCATAAACTTTGGATCTTCACAGCCGTCAACTCACCGCTGCTCACAAAGCGAATTCAACGCTGAGGTTTAGATCGCCTACTCTAATTTTAACCCCAATACGACCTCAGTGCTATTCCACAGTTTTCAAACTATTAATCGCGAGGTCTTAAATCAGTTCGGACTTTGTCTACAAATGGGAAGGAATAAATGTACGCTCGCAGTGCGTACGCGGCACCAGTTGATAATCTGTTTGTTTCGGATACAGTAAAGTAGAGAAGTTGATCCTGCCATTGGGGTTGGTGTTGTGGTTATGCGCACAGAAGCTCACTCTTAGTCGGGTTCCTTTTGCACTTGCCGGTACAGAGATTGGACCGTCGCCGATGTTGGCCACAGGCGTATCTCAGCCGTACCTCGACTTCGTGGCCCTTGAATCCAAACTCAAAGCGATGAACTTCAGTAGACGAGCACGTGAAACGCTAGAAGAAGCACAAAAAATTCACTCTGAATAATGCTTCCCTCCCTGATGAAACCAGAATTAGCCAGAAGGTGTTTCAATACGAATACCTGCCTAGACCAGATCATTCGGACTCGTCCAAGCACGGTTGCGTTTGCTTGGGACGCTTGGGTTTGTGCTCCTCGATGGCTAAGTAGCTCTGTCAGGATATGGAATAACAGCCATCAATCGATCTACACGAGAGACAGCGTTGTAAGTCTTTGACGCAATTTTGTCATCACTCCCCTCCGCGAAGTCAGAAAAATCAATACGCCTTGAACGCCAACAATTGATTCAGGTTCTCCAGTAAGATATGCACTATGCTTAAAAAACATAATCTGAAATGCAGTACATTATATGCATATATATGATACAAGTGACAATGTGGACAAATTTATAGCATTCAGGACAGGATTTGATAAACGTTTTCTGTAGAACTGTTGATGATGCTATCAGTTTAGAGCAAATCAGGTTTACTACATGAAATGGGTGCGCTCTGAATAATCCAGCGCAGAATGTCAATGCCCCGAAGCTCGCCCACTTGAGTATGCTAAATAATTCGTTATAAAAAATGCCCAATGTAGGTAGCCCATAACGCTTCCTGGCGTAAACGACCTATCATGAAAAAAACACGCATACCACTAAACTCAATTCATAAGTCGAATCTTCGAAATTCGACGGCGCTTACATAGGCTTTGCGAGACGCCGTACGTACGCTTTCGGCGGCTCAATCCTGCACACAATATAGAATGTAGGATATGTTGAATGGCCTTTTTCTAAAGCATGCCACTCGACTCGAGTCTTCCCTCTAATCAATTTGTACATGTGTTTACCTTGTCACCATTCAACGTTGATACCTGCTAGGGCTGTGTGTACCGATGACTCGATCGGTCGCCATATTCATATTCCCACAATAAGCCAATCCACTGCCAGGTTAACCGTCTGCGCGATATGCTTCTCTGTTCGCTCATAGATCCTTCAAGTCGAACATTTGCCCTGATCCCCCCAGTCACCGTGTCGCACCGCAGTGTAAAAATTCGAGCCTGCTTCCGTTCGGCGCACCTATCTTGAAGTGGCCTTCCGACAGGGCTCAACTGGCGTTCTGGATCAAGCTAATTTAATGATCCGATAGAAAATCATTAGCTGAACTGACATTTAACTGATTACTTAAAAACGCAGCCATTTCTATTATCTTATAATTTGGAACTATTGTAGATGTAATACATTCGTACGCATCGTGCTAGTCGGTATACGCGACTGCTGTCACACTAGTCTCATGGCGTTCACAGCGGGTGCTCGTTAAGCATGTGAAACGCAACATTTGACCGAAATAGAACTTCTCGCTATTTGGTTGGAGCTGGCTATTGGCTTCGTGCATGAGGCGGTATGCCGCCGTCGTATCTGTAAAACCTGCACGCGTCCTTAAGTAACTCTGCTTCGTCAATGTAAATAAACATTTAAAGTAGTGAGGACTAACTACACCCAGATTAATCGCTTCCGCCTGTCCGGATATATTTGTGTGTTTTTCAATTGTTTTTTTGATTGCGACTCCGTTCGTCAACAAGTGGCGTTCACCCAGGAGCATTTTCCACTTTGCCAGTCTCTAATTTTATAGTAGCTGAGACGTGCAGTGTTGCCGTTGAATGCGAGTACTGTCTGCCGGTTTACAAGTTGACTCTCCTGGTATGCACGTCTGCAAGACACTGCCGTGCGTGCAGCCGATTTGGACACAGCGAATCAATGTGATGTCACGCAGAAAAATTGATAACTCACTTGATACTGGTCTCATAGAGAGGCTACGTGGGTCAAGCCTATTTACCGTCGTTCTTTAGGCTTGAGTATTACACACGGCCTTCCGACTTCATTCAGTTGGCATAGCCGTTTCTCGGCCATAGGCCGTCACGTAACATGATGTCGCCGGCTCGCCGCGTAACGATCTCTTCCACTAAGGACGAGCTTTTTAGTCTACTCCTTTGTACCGTTTGAAGATATCATAGGGATCTAGTAGCGGCATATCAGGAAAGGGCGCGAGCAGCAAAGATCAGCTGGAACTGCCAGCGGGCGGTCATGTTGATTTATAATACATCGCGACGTATTCATGAAAATGTATTTATCTCGACGCACTCGTTCGTATATATATATATATATATATATATATATATATATATATATATATATATATATATAGTGCGTTTCGGCTTGCGCAAGTTTGTATCTGGTTTGTTGCTATTGTTGTTGTCAAGACAACGGCGTTTTTGAACAACGTCGTCGGTGTTCTCTTCTTTCAGCCTGAAGCTCTTTAATGTTTGCTGTTTCTCATAGAGCCCGTGACGCCTGTGTACATGTCTACGAAAACATTTACAAGGATCTAGCTTACTACTCGGTGCTTTTTGATATAGCTGATATGGGACCGTTAGCAAGGATATTGCGTCTTCCCCAGAGCTTTGTTAACCGATGAGACGCGGTTGCTCGACAATGACTCAACTGCCAGTGGCCTCTTCAACGGCGACCTAAGGTCAAACCTAGGGCGCCAGTGAACTCTCGACGGGGGAGCGACACAATGCGTGTCGTTTCGCCCAGTGCTACATTCTGAGTGACCGAGATGGTGTCGCGCCTGCAAAATAGCAGTCAAAAGAGAACTAGCGACGCGGAGATAATTTCGAAATACCTGTGATGTGGAGTTGGTGGTG